TCATCTCTTGTTTAGTGTTACTATTGCTACCTTTATAAAAAGTTGTTATTATTATAATAGATTTTATTTGTTATAATTAATATGATTAGAATTATCATGATAAAAATTGCTATTGTCATTATCATTATCATTAGTAACAACCATTCTCAATTCTAACGTTTTCGCCATTACTGTTTTATTATTATTGTTATTACTATTATTACTACTATCATAATCATAGTTTTTTTTGATGTCATGCTCATTATTTTGATCAGCCTTGCTATCATTATTAATATGACTAGGTTTATAATGATTATTATGATTATCATTATTAATGCTGTTTTGATCATCATCGTTAGTATTCCTTGTAAGAACCTGGCATAGCTGACGCCTCACCCAGTGTCTCTCGCCATCAGGTTCCTTGTACTGGCAGGTCGGGCACCCTAGCGGGGAGGCCGGCCATCTACACTACTCTACTTCAGTCTACTTGGTGAACGACGTGCCATGTGGTGGACCTCCTCCTCCTCCTCCTCCTTCTCCTACAACGACCACAACTACCCCTGCTCCGGTGGTGCCTGGGCCCCACGAGCACAGGCCGACGGGGCCCTTCCACGTGGCTTGCGAGATGCCCCCTCTCTGAGCGCCGTCCAGACAAGGGGGAGGGGTGAGAGGGCGACCCCAACCCTGTCGCTGCAAGTCGTTCTCTCAAGGAACCACAAGTGTTCGGTCTTTTCATTTCATTTGATTCCTTTGGTTTTGCTTAGAAGCATTGTTCAGATCCTTGAGCCATTTCTGCATTTCGAATCTGTTCATTTTGTGACAAAAGTCAATAGAGATCACACGTTTGACTGTACTGGAACTTTTCCTGCGATCCAAGCGTGGATGATCGATAGCATGTTGTTTAAAAATTTCACAATTAATAAAGAAGATACAACTACAAAATGCAAATGACAGTGAATCTTTGAATGGGGAACAGTCTGACTTTCATTGCACCTTTTCCTCATCTCTTGTTTCTTCCTAGTCGTTACTTTGACCAACTTACTTGTCGATGCACATGCAAACTTTACAATGAGAGGCATCTCTATTCACAATTTTATAACAATAAGACAGCATTTTGCCAATAATCGTCTTACCGGTAGTGATCATAAGTCTGAAAATAATACTGATTCTTAAACAGTAAAAAAAAAACATCAATTGTTTATTCTAATAGCTTTTCTGGAGATGATTATCTATAACAGACTGGGGACTTTAACACTAGCATAGTACTAAGACACACTTACATAGATAAACATATTTTGGTAATTAAACGCGAAAGAGAATATACTTGTGTATATACTTCAGTGGTACTATAAGAGGTACAGACTTGCAAATATTTCAAGTTTCGGCGGTGTCGGACGTACGAAAACCTATCACGTCAAAATGGACCACTCGAACAAAACCAGCTCTCTCACACATGCAGCGTCTGTGCACTACGGTTTCTATAAGTGTACAAAATGAATGTGATTATTAAGGTAAATGAGTACTAAACGGCTAGATTTATGCATTATAATTTGTCCTAAAAACAACAGTTTTACTACATTTTCATAAGTTCCTTGATTTCTGCTGTACTACGCTATATCATGTTAGAATTACCATTCACAATGTGGTGATGATGACCATTATGATTAGTAATGTTCATTAATTACACCGACTGTACTATCCTTATGATTATTATTTCTATAACTATAGTTATAATGATACTACTAATAGTAGGAATAATTATTCTTATTAGCATTATCGCCATCATTATCATTTTGCGGAAGACGGAAGAAATGGTATTACTTTAGTCATTAGTTGAATTTGTATGCAAATTCGAACGCATTCCTTTGGCTTCGACTCTGTACTTCAACGTCTGTTTGCCATTTGATAAACTTCGAAACAGCATTCTGTCCATGTATCCTCTTCTAGTGTCTTGGCATCTAATAGTGTAGACGGATCATGATGGTGCACTTTCCCTCCATCTTGTCTCTTGCAGTCTGGCCCAGCTGCCTTCCATCTCTGATGTCCAATTACTTCGTCGTCCAGTGTAACATGTTCGATCTTTATCTTCCTCTTGGCCTTTCTCCTACCATTTGGGCTTCGATTTTCTTCCATTATCCCTCCTTCTCTTCTTAACTCATGACCAGTGAGACCCCATCGCCTTCTGATGGTATTCACAGATGTCTCTTCATTGTTTATCTGTACAAAAATTCATTCATTTCTCTTCATGATATGCTCACCATTCTATCTTCTCCAAAACCATATTTCCGCTGCCTTACGCCTCACGCGAGTCATGGCCGATAGGCCATGACTCGCGTCCATACAATAGCACTGACCAGTTGTAACACTTAACAGACGCTTTCCTAGTCCTATCTTCTTTGCACACAATACACCCTCATGGCCATAAATTACATATAAGTCTCCCTATCTGATCTCCGAAGTTATCCAACTTCCTGTGTATCTGAATTGACTTGCTCTATTTGCTCCCCATTCACCGTCACGACATTCCGGAATCTGCCTTTTTGCTGGTAACCATCACATATGTTTTCTGGCAATTTGATTTCAAACCAATACTTTTGCTTTCCATTATAGCAGCTTTTTGGTCATGGAGCAAATTCCTCATTAACCTAAAACCTCTCCTATCTATATCTAACCTTTCTAGCTATTAAAGCAGTTTGTCATGTTTCACACAATTGAATGCTTTTACATAGTCTGTGCAACATATATCTAAGTCCATCTGCTTTTCAATGGGTTTTTACATGAGCATTCTTAGACACAATTGCATTTCTTGTTCCTTTTCCAGGTTTGTATCCAAAAGGTTCATCCGATACCCTTCCCTGCTGGTACTTTTATTCCGATTAAACATTACTCGTAAAGTTATCTTCGTTAGTGACTCTTGAGGCTAATTCTTCCGTGTGTTTTGTATCTTTCGCTCCTGGTAATAAAGATAGATTCAGGCATTTCCTCAGGAGCGTCCTCAGAGTTGTATACGTGATTAGCAATTTCAGTGATCTTATCAAGCCCAAAGTCTCCCAAAGCTTCTAAATGCTGTCCTAACATTTTCTGCTGGCTTGACTTTCATCTTCTTCATGGCTTCTCTTACTTCTTTTCTTGTTATCGGTTGCCCAGTCATCTGTTCCTAATTGTTGCTCTTCCTTTTCTATCCGCTTCTGAATATAGTTCTGCGATGCAATGTCCACCTTATCCTAACTTGATCTAGCTCTATCTTTTGTACAACTAGATACATTCTGCTACGTCTTGTTTGTTACAGCTTTCACTTTTCCATGCATCATTTGCATGTTCTTCTTTTCCAATCTTTCTATCCAGTCTTCTGTACTCATCCCTATCTTTCTTCTCTCTGCGTTTCAACTCCATTGGGTCCAAAATTTCTGATGCCATTCATTTCTTCTTAGCTGTCATGCTCGTTTTGGGATACACTCTTCTGAACTTTTTACTAAGGCTTTCTGTAATGTTTCCACTTTTTGCCATCATTTCCACACTTCAACTTCTTCAGGTCCTTTCGTAAGTGGCCCATCAACAGAATATGATTACTACCAGTCTTTACGTGGATGTGTCCTTACTCTTTTCATGGCATTCCGAAAGCGCTCATTAATCAGAACATATTGTACCTGGTTTCTGCACGTGTCTTCAGGTCTCCTCCAAGTATGCAAGTTCCTCAGGTGGTGCTGGATCCACGTGTTTAAGATATACAATCTGTTCGATTTACACTATTTAGCCAAATTTCCACCCCTGTCATTCTGCTGTTCTAGACCAAAAGGTGCAACTGCTTGCCCATTTTTGCCCTTTCCTACTCTCGCGTTTAAATCACCCTTCAATATTCTTATATCTCTATACTGCTTCATTACTTCTTACGGTTGATAGTGAGATTTCTCTTTTGCATCATCAGTACAAATAATATATAGGCGAATACCACTGAATCACCGAGTTGTCAAATGGCCTCCCTTTCAGTCTTAGCAACAGAACTCCATATAAACTTTTTGTACTTACTCATCCAGAAATATTCCTACACCATTTATGTTCCATTCCTCTCGAGCATATAAATGTGGTTCCTTCAGATGTTAGGTTTCTTGATTGTGCCTTACTTCACGAACTACCAATATACTAAACTTTAGTCTCCTCATTTCCCGCATTCGTAGCTCATCTGCCCTCACCACCAGCTTCCTGCGAATCAGTACTCGTAACCCTGAGTAAGGGACTCATCCAACTACCAACTGGGTCAGCTGGACCTGAGGCAAGGCTCGAACAAATATGGCAGTCCATAGGCCCTGCTACCCTGCTAACTGTGCATACAAAACTTGTAAAGCTTCCATTCCCGTGAACAAAAGGCGAAAACCTTTTGACAATAATGCCAGTGAAAAGGCCAATATCATTAATAATGAAGATTTATCATAGTAACAATGATCGTAAACATGATGATAATAACAGTGACTTAATGATAATTATCAACACGATAATAATTCTAATTCCTGTTATAATATATAAGAAAGTCAGTAGTAATAACACATAACACCGTTACAAATAAAAATAATGATAATTATGTCAATGATGATCATGATAATGCAATAAGAATACAAATGCAAATAATAATGATAATTGTATCCATACAATAATAATGATAATAATAATAGTAATAAAAATAACAATAACAACAAAACAAAAACAACAACAACAACAACAATAATAATGATAATAATAATAATAATAATAATAATAACGGTAATAATAACAATGCCAACAACACAATGGCAACAACAACAATGATAAACATCATCTATAGCTGCGAAGGGACGTCCCCACGGAGCGCGTCCGGCCCCGACTCCTTATAGTTCTGAATATATGCGTCTCTAGCCTTTAGTTGTTTTTTAATGAATAGCTATTCTTTAGAGAATTCTGAAACAACTTGGACTTAAACTAATTTTCCCAACTGTACATATTTTATGTATTGTTCTGAGAGCTTCCTACTGACAGTGGGCGTGTTTGGTGGCCGCCTGTGGTATGCTCTTCTCCCTATTATTATATTTTACTGTACCTTTCCTTTTTTATATTTTAGTTTTTCCTTAGTTTTTACATCCCTTTTTTTTTCCTTTTATTAGTTACCTGAAAACATGAACTTCATGAACTTTAAAAAAACACATTTTGCGACAAAACAAGCGAGGGAATAAAACTAAAGATAAGGATTAGCCAGATATGCAGAGCAGGCCAGTGGACCCGGGTCAGTGAATAAACGTCTGAGCGGAAACATTCTTTCACCAAACTACCATTATTAAAAGTTCCCCTGGCACCTCGCCTTCAACAGAGGTTCATTACAACCATAACCATATTGCCAGAATTACAAATGTTCTTTTCATGCAATCACATCGGCTTTTATTTCCCTCGCACGCTACCATTTTCCACCCTCACCTACATCGCCATCCCCTCCTTCTCATTCGTTTACGCCCCTTCCTTCCCTGAACCACTCACCCTGCCTCTCCTCCCCCCCCTTCATGTATCTATTTCAACTCGCACGCCATTATAATTCCTATTCACTCTTACTCTCGTTGTATCCATAATTAGTTTTTCCTCGTGTGCTATAGCCTACTTTGACTTACTCATTTCGAAACT